AACTTTTTGTAAGCGGATGCGGGCACTACACCGCCGCGCCGTCATTTCTTGCCTTTTTATGGTAACTTTTTATCGTTTTTACGTCGAAAATATTTTTAAGTTTTGCCTCCGGTCATTTTCGTCATGTTCCCAACGGGCATTGCTTTTTATGGGGCGCTTACTGCTTATTTTCAAGTGAATCAGCATTATGAATGTAAGGAAACCCTTTAGTTTAAATGATTTCTGTTAAGTTTGATTAGTCTCCTCTAAATTTTCCGTGTTTTGAATTTCTGTATCCAATTTGTAAGGTCTTATCTATTCTAATAAAGTGATTATTCAAAGACTTTCTAGTGTTCAACCAAATCACGATGCCACTATTCCTGGGCGTTTCGATCCCACTGATGGCAAACACGTTGTATAGCGCGCTCTGGCATAAGAAGGCTACTTTTCGGAATTTCATGTCGGTCTGGAAGCTCAGAAAACAGCGTAAGGCCATTCCTACTATAATTTATCGTTCATTTAGTTGTGGCAAAGCGCAGGGGAATTCTACGAGCTCACATTATTGGCTTGACGCCGTTCACCTCAAAAAGTGTCGTTCGAGATGGAAAAGTACCAATAACGTCTATTACATGAGTTCTTGATGATTGGTGCTGTTGTTGTTAATTGTTGTTATTCCATTATCACTTTGTTATTTTTAAACGTTATGGTGAATAAATAAAAGCAAAACAGTAACAAAAAGGAACATGTTATTTCCTGCCTACAGGAAACAGCCAAAACCAATATTCTCGCCAAACTCAAGTGTGTATTGTTTTTATTTTATTTTATTTTATTGGCATCTTTAAGGCACCGCTTTCAACTCGAGCTTAGAGATATCTTAGTTTTTCAATTCTGGAGGGAAATTAAAAATTCATAACTGCTTCTCGTTTGCAAACCAAACGACTTTCCCTTGAAAATCTTCAACTAAAATTTCAAAATTCCCAAAATTGCTGGCACATCAACTAGACTGGCAAAAACAAGTCAGAGAAAATTGCAGGCTCGAGCTAGCGCGATAAGACCTCCAAATCCGGGTTCCGTACTAGCTCGTTTTTGTGGCAGAGATCTGCCCCGACCGAAAATCTACACATTCCAAGGCCAGGCCGGTCGGGGCCCCCGATTTCTCCCCAGTTAGCCGGATAAGAAAGGGATGAAACCCGGGTGAAAGCCGCGGCAAATTTGGAAAATGAGGCCCGACGAATCGCTCACTTTGCCCGTAAAAACCGAAAATCCACAGAAAAGTGAGAGATGTCCTTGACTCGGTGAGCGCGGGGGAGCACCATGTTACGCCTTTTGATTGCTTGTTTGGGGATGTTTATCTCTCTTTTTCATGGGCTATCTCTCTCTGCCTCTCTGTCTCGCGCCTCTCTCGCTTGACTCCATCGCTTTTGGGGCCCTGGAGATAACCCTGAAAAACTGTACCCTCGGCCCTGCCTGCTTGACATGCGTGATGTGATGGGCCTGGGATTTGGCTAAATTTGAGAAAGTTTGAGAGAAACCGTTAGCCCGTGTTAGCCAAGGCCGAGCTAATCCTATAAAAAGCGCGGCCCTTGGACATGTCAAACCACTCGAGCCACGATGTACCGAGTCGGGTTCCTAGCAGCCCCTCCTTCTTTCGGCTAACTGGTGAGTGTTTTTAAAGTTTTAAAGTTTGGCATTTTCTTATAAAAATAAAGATAGCACTCAAAATCTTTAAGCTAGAGGTAACCAGAAGAAATTTTTAATGATTAATCAGTTTGATTTCTTCAATTTGAACATTTCTTAGCCATGGTTGAATAATTAAAACCAGCTTTTCTTTTTGATAGAATCATTCAAAGCTTTAATTCGTTTGAAGATTTAATAGATACCGTTAGCAAAACTTTTTGTAAAATCCCCACCAGGCGCTAGACATACATAACTGGATATAGGTAAGGGGCTAACCAGGGCACCTTTAGAAATTTTTAATACATACTTATCAACTCTACTAATATTTTGTTTCCAGCCAATATGCCCAGTCCGGCGGATACGGTGCGGCGGCGGCGGTGGCGGCTACAGCGCTGTAGCCCAGCAGCCCCAGCAGTATGGCGGCGGTGGCGGCTACGGAGGCGGCGGTGGTGGTGGCGGCGGATACGCCCAGGCCCCCTCAGCAGCAATCCTACGCCCCTCAGGCTCCTCAGCAACAGTCGTACGCTCCTCAGGCCCCTCAGCAGAGCTACGCCCCTCCGCCCCCTCAGGCTCCTCAGGGATACGCCGCCCCTCAGGCCGCGCCCCAGCAGTCGTGGGCTCCTCAGCCTGCGCCTCAGCAGAGCTACGCCCCTCAGGCTCCTCAACAGCAGTCATTACGCTCCTCAGGCTCCCGTGTACTCCCCTCCGGCTCCTCAGGCTCCTCAGGGATATGCTGCTCCTCAGGCTGCCCCTGTAAGTTTTCTTAACTTTGTTGTGAGCTTTTACCTAACTAGTATCGATTAAATTTTTCCAGGCTCCTCCTCCCCCTCCCCCTCCTCCCCCTCCTCCTCCGCCAGCCTACTCGCCGCCCGCCCCGGTAAACTTTTGAGCCTTATGTTCTGGGTACCTTGAGCATTAGTTATACTGAAGCTAAACTCATTTTTCCAGGCTCCTCCTCCCCTCCTCCCCACCCCCGCCACCACCACCGGCCCCGGTCCAGAGCTACTCGGCCCCGGTTGCTGCTCCTCCGGCCCCTGCCCCGGCTCCTCCTCCTCCTCCCCCCCACCACCACCTCCTCCCCCGGCTCCCCCGGCGCCGGTAAGGATTTTACATTGAGTGGCAGCGGAGAGAGAGCGAGAGAGAGAGAGAGAGAAAAAAAGAGAGAGCAAGGAAGCGTGATAAAGCAGGAGAGAAAAATGCCTTTTAGAACGTATAATAATTTTGAAATTCCAGGCCCCTGCTCCTCCCCACCTCCTCCCTCCCCAGCACCACCGGCCCCGGCCCCCGCTGCCCCCGCCCAGAACTCGTACGGAGATGAGCCCGTTGCCCCCGCCCAGCCCGCTTCCGGAGGCTACCGTCACCGCAAGGTGTTCCGCCACAAGGCCCGCAAGGTTGCCCGCAAGGTCCTCCGCCACAAGCACCGCAAGGTCGCCCGCAGCTGAACACCCACTCTCAACGACTCGGGTACCACAAAGCCTTAAACATCACAATAATGCTCAACGATGTCACAGCGCCCGACTAGGGCGTGTATGTAGTGCTATGAATAAATGGATATACATAAAATGGTGTATTTTGAAAATACAATACAAATAACAATCGCAAAAAAAAGTCTAGGAAGGGCTTGGAAATTTGAAATTTTGGGTAGAGGTCAAATTCAAGCGTCTTGCGGGAATGGGTCAGCTAGATTGTTATCGAAGGTTTTTTGCGTTTTTTTTGGGTATTCGAAGGTCATTTTCTAGCGGAGCAGCCATCTTTCTATTGCAGTCATCTTTGTGGACGATGATAATTCTCTAGTGACTAGCTTCCCATTATTTTTTAGATGCTAAGGCTTAGATTATTACGCAGTCAAATTAGATATCTTTCGCCCGCGCCAACAATCCCAGACTCCTCAGGGATACGCTTCAAAACTTCACCTCCAAAAACTTCAAACAATTCCAGAAAGTAAGAAGGATTCAAAATATATAATACCTTCGATTCATATCGAGGGAAATGTACCCTTTTTTTGTTACTTGCTGAACCATAGTTCCATTGGACAAATTATCGCCTCTTTCCAAAAACACTTGAACTTCCCGGTCGTGTCTCTGTGTCGATGAGTCTGCGGAAACAACAACAAGAAGCTGCTCTTTTCTATTTCCAAAATATGCCGCGATCTTTCGTATTGATTAGAAAGCCTTCGCTTTTGATATAGAAATATATGGGTTTTTTAGAAAAAGCACCTCCGTCAATTTCAAAGTCGACCCTCTCGTGTGGTCACTCTAAAGTGAGTGACCATTCCCACCCACCGGAGTTGCCAACAGACGGTACTTGAACTTGTTCTTTGCTCGCCTTACCCCGGAAATTCCGGTTCTTTCGATCAGTTTTAGGGTGTAAGAGGCATCAAGCGGGAGGTCTGGAAGCCATTAATTTATACGATTTTTAAAACCCAACTATCACATTATCCAGTTATTTTTTTTGTTTAAGCTTCGGGTAAGGAACGTCGATTTCATGTAAAAGCAATTTCAGCAATTTTTCCGACAACCTAATTGTTCACGTTTTTCGTTATACCCCCTATGCAAGCAATTTTGGCTTAATTTTCCCAGGTTCCAAAATTAATAAATTTTTGAAAACTAAATATGAATCGCATACATCCCACATCTTAGATTGTATGCTTTCCTAATCTCTAAAAAAATTTCTCCCTTCTCCCTAATCTCCCTAAAATTGACATTAAAAGCAAAGATACCAAAAGTTGTGTCAAAAAGTCCACTTTATAGTTTAATTCGAACTTCATTAGAACGGAATTTGAAACCAAAAATTAAAAAAATAAAGTGTCTGAATAATTCATTCTCACAATTCCGTAAATATTTACATGCTACGCCTTGCACCATAATAACACCTTGTCCCCAAAAAACCAATCCAATTTTTGGTGAGTTCCAGCTGTCATCGGTTCGCTAGTTTTTATAACCCAGGCAACCCCCCATATTTCAGAGTGGCCGCCCATAGCTTTCCCGCATCTGTCCCCCTTGGAGGCAAAATGTAAACATTCGCAAGATGTACCGGAGGGCATTCGTGCCAGAGACCTCAATCCTCTTGATTAGATTAGAAGATCGGGTCCATTTCGCTACAAATTCCGGGGTTTGAAATTGATAAGCAGACAGAATGGCGTTCCAATTTGGGACTTCCTGGTGCTGGTGGTCGAAGATTTTTGATCCCAGATTTCGGGGGTACTGTAGAAAATGAAAGGCTGTAATATGGAATGGTAAAAATCGCGATTTTTGGTTTAAATCTACATCGCTCTCTTTCTCTCTCTCATTCTCTCTTCGCTTGCTCTGGTTTGTCGTGTGATTGCAACTTTAATTTCAGGGCGCATGCTATCGATATTTATACTATTTTGCGGCCTGCCCGGCTTGGCCAGCGGATTGTATAGACAGGTATCCTTTCATAAACTTAAGCAAGGCCATGCTTATTATATTTTGACTTTTAAATTTTATTTTTCGGGAAAGTTAATTTTGAAATGGCGTTTGTTACTTAAATTGTGGCCGTAAAATCCATTGTAGTTTTAAAACTGGGATAAAAACACGAATTACAAAGCTCCAAATTGAACGCCCGAAACGACAAACTTTAGGCAAACAACTATCGGTACTACGATGACCTGACAGGACTATGGACCTTTATGAAAGAGCCCCATAATGCCGGGGATCGAGGGATTGAGCAAGAATGGTTCAAGAAGGACCTGTCCAAAATGGAGGTACTGTAGCTTTTGGTTTTCAAATGGTCTCGACAAGCTTTAGAATTCCACCGTAATGCCCGTTCCCGTCGCCTACAACGACATGAGCGCCGAGGCGTCGCTGCGGGACCACGTCGGCTGGGTGTGGTACCAGAAGAACGAGTTTATTCCGGATGTAAGTCGTAATAACTATATTGATTCGTCGTAATAAGTTTATTAATAACAATAGTGCTCTAATTTTATAAGAAAAACGCCCAGCTTTTAGCGTGACAAGGATTTGCGCATATTCCTGACCTTCGAATCGGCGCAGTACTACGCTGTAGTGGTAAGCCAATTTAATAGCATAATTTTTCTCGATCTTCGGATTTCTGCCTGAAAAATAGTGAGTATGAACAAAAAAAAATCAATTTTGAAATGAACTAGAATGTCAAACATTATTTTACACGCCTTAATAAAGGCTAGTTAATTCTGAAATGGTACACGTTTCGGTTTTCCAACTTGTGGACTTATTGATTATTATTTTTAGTAAATATTTGAATTTCTATTTCCTTTAAATATTCGTTCTTTTAGTACTTCAACAGCAAACTGATCGGCGAGCACGAGGGTGGGCATCTACCATTTTCGTTTGAAGTTACTGACCATGTAAGTAAAACTCCCGTTTTTCACATTATATTGCTACGCTCCCGTGATTACCTTCTAATTCTTTTTTAGGTAAAGTTCGGCGCCGACAACAAAATTACGGTAGCCGTCAACAATACATTGTCGTACTCCACGATTCCGGAAGCCGAATTCCAATACAAAGCAAGGAAGGAGATGGCTTTTGGGGGGAATCAGGTACCTCAATTTTGCAAATGAACTCAACTTATTTCTTTTTAGTCAATGACCCAGTACGCGCCCGGGTTCTTCGAGATGACGGTGCAGTTCGACTTTTTCAACTACGCTGGACTGCTCAGGACGGTGTATCTGGAGAAGAAGCCCAAGATTCATATCGATGACATTCGGGTGGTGTCGGATCATGTTGGTGAGGAATTTGAAGGGTGGAATTGGTGGCCAGAAGCCCTAGTTATGCTTTGCGAGGTACAAATTGTCGGCAAATAAACAAAAGTAAAAGCTATTTTAGGGCAGAAAGTTGGGCATAGTTGCGTAAAAGTAGTTCTGCGTTTTTTTTTCAAAATAGTCTAGTTTAAAGACACGCACACGTGGCCAAAAATTTTCATACCGGGACCCCAGTTCCTTGACATGACCAAAAATGAAACAGGCGATCCAAGTAAGAATTTTCATGATAGTTCAAAGGGATACCTTAAATTCAAAGATTGTTTAAAAGTTAAAAACTACAAAATAGTGTGCCCAAAGTAGCAAAACGGAATTCAGGAGCCATTTTCTGGAAAATCGTGCTCGACGGCTGTAGCAGTGGATGCGCGGCGAAAGTTCGAGTTTTGGACGCCGATGGAAATGAAGTTATGAAAAGGTATACAGGGTGTCCCATAAAAAAGCACCCCTCTCGCATTTCGCCATATTACGTCCGATCAATCCGAAAATTGGACCAGGAGTGTATTAGACCCTAAATAACCACAATCCTGATTTTCAGCCCAGTAGCTATAATAGTTCTGGAGTTATAACCAAAATAAACTTTATTTTCAATTTTTCATAGGGTTCCCGTGGAATTAGACCCCCTAAACATTAAGTGAAAAAGATTCGACAGGTCTTCTTTACCTTAAGAAAATTTTTCCTGACTAAAATTAATCAAATAAACATCGATTTCAGCGATTTTTACAACACAAAATTACCCAAGTTCTTAAGCTAAATTAGGGATTCGCAGCCGGAAGTCGATGCAAATCGATGCGAAGTCCAAAAGATAGCCGAAAAAACTGTTTAGAATCGCGTAAAAAATAGTATTTTGGCGATAACTCGAAAACTACGGTGGCGATTGGGGTATAACTCAGGATTGTGGTTATTTATGGTCCGATACACCCTTGTGCAAAATATGGGGCCGATCGAATGTAATACGGCGAAATGCCGGAGGGGTGCTTTTTTTTGGGACACCCTGTATTTACTGGTTAGACAAGTATATTTTTTAAATCGGTATTTATTAATCTTCAAATAGATGGGGTTAATACACAAAGTACAGAATCTATTTTTTAAGCCGCCGGACTGACCGGAAGTGGTCAGGTAAAGAGTCCGAAGCTGTGGTGGCCGAGAGGAATGGGAGATCCGAATTTGTATATATTCCGAGTAAGCTATTTTCCCCAAAAAACTTTAATAAATAGGATTTTAGGTGGAAATCTCGTCTCCAGATGGACAAATTGTTGATCAATACGACGAGGAATTCGGGTTCCGCTCCGTTACTTACGACAATCATCAGGTATCTATTAAACGACGGACCTTTATCAAAAAAATAACTTTACTTTTTTTCTTTAATAATTAATGGCAAAATAAGATCTAAATTAAAAAAAGAAAGCCGATTAGGAAAGATCAACAATATAGAATTTTTTGTAGATGTACATCAACAACAAGCCGTTCTACTGCATTGGATTTGGGATGCACGAAGATTCGGAGGTATCTTTGAGTTCTTACAGTTTGTTTACAGTAGTTTTGATTCTTCCATGGAAAGTCAAATAAAGAAAAACTACGCAATAATCCATTTTACCCATCAAAAACAGGTAAAATTGTAGATTCACGGTCGCGGCTACGACGAGGCGGTGATGACAAAGGATTTGAATCTTTTTGAATGGGTTGGAGGTAGAACTCGCAATCCTCTTTTTTCATTTTTCTCTAGCCAACTGCTACCGTACCTCGCACTACCCATATGCACAGGAAAGGATCCGAGAGTCGGATCGTCGCGGAATTGCTGTGATTTTGGAGACGCCGGCTGTCGGGTTGAAGTTTGTATTAAAGCCAACCGTACTATTGATAGCAGCAATTCGTAAAAATATAATTTTTTAGGGTCTTCACTGACCACAATCTAAAACTGCACAAGCAGATCGTGACCGAGATGATCATGAGGGACAAGAATCATCCATCTGTAAGCCAAAGGAAAAATATACCATTTTGTATTAATCAATGCTATTAGCTGCGCACAGCACTCCTATAAAAACGGCGAATAAATGTATTTTGATGTTCACTACAAAATGCGTAATTTAGGTGATCATGTGGAGTTTATCCAACGAGCCCCACACCGAGCGGAAGGAGTCGAGGAATTACTTCAAGTACGTTTCTAAAATATGTTTTTCATCGAATTTCAATTTTGTTTTTTTTTATTGTAGAAGAGATCGTTGAAAAGCATATCGAAATTTTATTGCATTTTGAAAATTAAAAATTCAACTTTAGAACACTTGTCGATCTGGCCCACGACTTGGACCAAAGCCGCCCTGTCACGATTGTTTACGGACCTTCACACTGGGAAGATGATCAAACGGTAAATTATACATAGTGGAAAATAGAGAGTGAACTAACGGAAAAATTAGAATCATATTTTCCTACGCTACGAATTTAGGCCGATCTTATCGACGTGGTGTGCCTGAATCGCTACTGGGGCTGGTATGACGATATGGGGTATCTGGAGACGGTTAATCAGTAAGTTTCGACTTCAACACCCCACGAAGTGACCCTCATTAAACTTATTAACGACTGGATACAAAAACCTACGATACAATGCTTCGTACGACACACAAATCTCGGTAACTTCTAGATCCGTCGTTTTCGACTACACGATGTGGTACGAGAAGTTCAAGAAGGCCATGATTATGACGGAATATGGAGCTGATAGTATCGTGGGGCTGAATCAGGTGAGAAAAATGACATTAAAACTACACAGCCTGAAAAAATTGCTAATTTAGAAAGTTCAAAAATCCAGGATCCCAATTTAAAAATCCTGATCATTTAATATTGACAATAATCAGCATTAAATTTTAATATTTAGCAACCAGCCGTCGACTTCTCCGAACAATACCAAAATGAGCTGATCCGCGAGACGCACAAGGCGCTTGATCATCTACGGAAAGCCAAGATTCTCACGGGAGAGATGATTTGGAACTTTGCCGATTTTATGACGGCACCAGGTTGATTTGAATAGTAGTAACTTAAAATCAATCAATTCAGCCGCGCTACGCGCTGTCGGGAACCACAAAGGAATCTTTACGCGAACTCGCCAAGCCAAGCAAGCGGCTTATACTTTGAGGTACACAAAAATTAATGAAAGTTGTTATTGAAACGACTTTTTTAGGGATCGCTACCTGAAGCTCCTGCCACAACTCTAATTTATCCTTTTTAAATGGTTTTTTCGTACGAATAAATTTTCCCCGTTTTTTCATGTAAGTCTTCGTACCCTTTAACGAAGGAATTCACCAATTCCTTGACTAAAAATAGACCAAAGATAGAAAATCCAGGCTGCTCTTGTTGATCCATACCATCTACTATATATAAATTTCTAATGTCCGTCCGTTCGCGCGACCGGGAATTCAGCCAAATCCGGCATTCAAATTCCAAATTCAAATTTTTTCGGGGGGGGGGAGGGCCAGCGCTGAACCGCCGCGGAGCGGGGGGTCAGCGCTGGTTTCAAACAAAAAGCAAAAAGATTCCAGCCAACCGGATTCGAACCAGTGACCTAAGGATAGCTGCCAACTCTACAGTCCTCCGCTCTACCAACTGAGCTATGGCTGGGTCGGAGCAGCAATGCGGAGGGGGAGTTATGAGGGGAACATCATTACTTTCATGAGGAGCATCAGGCGATTGCCAATGAATACCTTCATATTGCCCCCTCCCTCCATGCATCACCGCCCAGCCTCCTACAGTCCTCCGCTCAGTTGGTAGAGCGGAGGACTGTAGAGTTGGCAGCTATCCTTAGGTCACTGGTTCGAATCCGGTTGGCTGGAATGTTTTTGCTTTTGGATATGTGGCACGGTAATTTATTGTTTTTTCTGAGGCTGAGTTATTGGCGTCAATAAGCACCACGCAGCACTTTGAGGGTTTCGATACCTTTTGAAGCCAATTTTCGTTTATTTTTCGAATTATTAGAGCAATTATACAAGATCCACAGGGCGCTTCCGCTGGCTTTTTACCTTTCACGGGTCTGGCGTTCGGAAAATGCGTTCGAAGTCGAGAGAAATAAATTCTACTACCAGATGATACTATACGATACCTCAAGGTTTTCGGACTTTTTTAAGTAAATTCCGGATTTTTCGGGATTTTACAATAGCAAATCAAAATCGGGAGGGCATTTCTGCAGTCATTATAACTTCTCACTCGCTCCCTCTCGCTCTCTCTCTCTCTCTCTCTCTCTCTATCTCTCTGTGATAAAAGTTATCCTTTCCCTTTCCCTACTACGTTTAGCCCTTTCCGTTTATGAACGTCTTTCCAAAATCGCTTTCACCATCCCTTTAGAAAATGAGCTCCCTTTTCTCGTTCTCGCTCGCTCACTCTCTCTTTCACTCTCTCTCGCCCTCTCTCCGACTCACTCTCTCGCTCTGCATTTGCAGGTGTATTGTTCCATGTGTCATACATAATACCAAATATTAGTCGAAAGACTTTATCAGCCCCGAGGGGACGACGCGTACACGTTTTCGAGGTGAGTTGTGGTGTGTGGAGGCAATGAATGTACACACCCGCCATGTGGCGGACCCATAGTTGAACGGGGAGCTTTCGCTCAGTGCCTGGCGAGACGGGCGACCTTGCGGGCGACCTTGCGGTGGCGGAAGACCTTCTTGTGGCGGAACACCTTGCGGTGGCGGTATCCTCCGGATGAGGGTGCTGGGGCCGGGGCGGCAGGGGCCTCGGGCTCATCTCCGTACGAGTTCTGCTGAGGGGCCGGTGGGGCCGGGGCAGGTGGTGGTGGGGGAGGAGGAGGAGGAGGAGCCGGGGCCTGAAATAAGAGCATGATCCTCCGGATTCGGATTTACAGGGGTGGGACAGTTTAAATCTTTTGAATTTGAGTTTTCATGTTTTATACCGTGTAAGCGCTGCCGCTAGACCAAATCATGCCGCAAATCGTTGCTCAAGCTGTTTGCTCGTGCTCTATTAGCTACTCCACCGTAGTAGTGCGTTTTAGAGGAACCATGAAGGCAAGTTCGGCACCGTTTTCTATGGTTTTCAGGTGTCACTTTGCTTCCTGGTGTTTTTAAAACGCGCTTTTTTGCCCGATAAATCGAATTTAGAGCTACCCGAGACACTAAGCGCATTTTAAACGACCTGTGAAGGCAATTTCGCCCCGTATCCGACGTTTTTAGGTACTAGGTGATACACTGAGCCTGGCTAACTAGCAAACGCCATTTGAGGAGCTCTACATGTATGTTCTCGATAGAACTCACCGGTGCGGGTGGCGAGTAGACGAGGGCCGGTGGTGGTGGCGGGGGTGGGGGAGGGGGAGGGAGGAGGAGCCGGGGCCTGGAAATGCTGGTTTAATAAGGTATCGGACTTAAGGTCATGCTCGCTCTCACTACCTCTGTATCGCTTTATATCTCCTCTCTCTCTCTCTCTCTCTCTCTCTCTCTCTCTCTCTCTTTAGCTTGTCCTCTCTCTCTCTCTCTCTGTCTCTGTCTCTCTGTCTCTCACTCGCACTCTCTAACCCAAAATTCTTACCGGTGCGGGTGGCGAGTAGACCGGGGCCGGGGGTGGTGGTGGCGGGGGAGGGGGGAGGGGGAGGAGGAGCAGGCGCGGGAGGAGCAGCAGCTTGGTAGCTCTGGACCGGGGCCGGTGGTGGGGCCTCAAACGATAGAATAGGGTCATTATATTTGAGTTTCAAAATCATCATGCTAACTCTAAAACGATCCTACAGTTGATCGGTTGCTACTGTAACTTGTACGCTATCGTACTTAATTAATATACCCTGAAAGGATCTCAATCTCACCTGGGGAGCAGGAGGGGAGTAGCTCTGCTGGGGAGGCGCCTGGGGGAGCGTAGCTCTGCTGAGGAGCCGGAGGAGCAAAGGACTGTTGCTGAGGAGCCGGAGGAGCAAAGGACTGCTGCTGAGGAGCCTGAGGAGCGTAGCTCTGCTGGGGTGGTGGTGGGGGAGGAGCCTGAAATAGAGGGAGCATGAGTAAACGGTCACCTATGCTATTTAAACCACTATGACTGCTGGAATTTTGAATAGCTATATTTTAATGGACAATTGACGTCACTCCACCAACCTGAGGGGCATATTGAGGGGCCGGTGGGGAGTAGCTGGGTGGTGGTGGGGGTGGGGGAGGAGGAGGAGGGGGAGGAGCAGCCTGAGCATAACCTCCACCGCCGCCGCCGCCGCTGTAGCCGCCTCCGGCACCGCCGCCGTAGCTTCCGCCTCCGATGGCTCCACCTGAAATGGCGACCTTCTCACGGATTTCATTATTTTTAGAGCAAAAATAGGTTGAGCTCAGAATATTTTGGTTGATCTCTACTTTAGAAATCTGCTAACTTACCTTGAGCGTATCCACCTCCGCCGCCGCCGCCGCTGTAGCCGCCACCGCCGCCGCTGTAGCCGCCACCGCCGCCGCTGTAGCCTCCTACGGCACCGCCGGCTGAAAGAGATCATGAATTAAAAAGAACACGATATGAAGAGAAAGAGAGAGAGAGTCAGAGAGAGAGCGAGTGAGAGAGAGTGAGTGAGGGAGCGTGAGAGCAAAGCGAGATAGAGCGAGGGAAAGAGAGAACTACTTACCTCCTGCATATCCGCCTCCGCCGCCGCCTCCGCCGAAGCCGCCGCCGCCGCTGTAGCCACCGCCGCCGCCCTGTTGGGCGTATTGGCTAAAAAGCAAATTAAACATTGTCAACTAAACGAATATTTGTCATTTTTAGGTTCCTACTGTAGCTGTACTTTAATCTTAGCCACGGAAAAAAATATATGTTGCTAAAATTTGGAATTCCGGCCGATTTTAGCATATTATTGTTAGAAATCCATATCAAAGGTTGAGTTGTAAATTTTAAATTCAGGATTAAAATCCTTACCTATCAAACTTAAAATTCTATAAATTCTGACTGAAAGAATAGAAAACTCTTATTTTTAATGAAAGGTATTCTCAAAGCGGTTTTAGGGTTTAGAAAAATATTTAAGTACTATTAAAGGCACTTACCAGTTGGCGGAGAGGAGTAGGGTTGCAAGGAGCCCGACTCGGTACATGATGCCTCAAGTGTCGATTCGAGCACCATCCCGGCTTTTATAGGCTGAGGAGGGCTTCAGCAGCTCTCAGCCCTGTGCATCCGTTCTAGTCTCCGCCTGCCTCTCTCGGCTTCAAATTAGCCACTTTTTAGGCGTTTTTCAATGAAGGAGAGGGACAAAGAAAAGTTGGCTTGTACGTTCTATGTACACCTATCCGCGGCGCGTTTCAAGGCCGAGACTCGATTAGGCAGCAGTTTCTAACGAAAGAAGCTTTTTAGGGATCGCTATAGAAGCTCCTTCCGCAAGCCTTCAGCAATTTTTACTTGTATTTTTTGCTAACAAACTTTTCTTCTTTTTTTCTGCAAACGTTTTAAAAATAAGAATTAACTACGATCAATCATTAACAATGCACAATTCTATCTAAGAATTTACTGTGTTTATTCAGACCATTTCAATTAACAGGCAAAAACAGGCAACTGGCTTCGAACGAGTACCCCAGCACAGCTTCCATACCGCTCCAGCCTCACAACCGCCACCCAGCCATAGCTCAGTTGGTAGAGCGGAGGACTGTAGAGTTGGCAGCTATCCTTAGGTCACTGGTTCAAATCCGGTTGGCTGGAATTTTCTTGCTTCTTGGGTTTTGGAGCTCGGGAAGGCTTTTTGAGGCCGAGTTCATGGAGGTTTTGAGCACTTTGAGGGTTTCGATTGCTTGTGGAACGAATTCTCGTTTTTTTTTGCTTTTAAAAGGGGTGACTATCCTGCTCTGTCTCTCACTCTCTCTCATTCCCTCTCTCTCTCTCTCTCTCTCTCTCTCTCTCTCTCTTTATCTCTCTCCCTTTCTGTCTAGCTAGCTACCTTTAAAGTACGTTCAGCCCTATCGGCAGTTTAGTAACGTTCTTGGACCACTTCTGCTCTTATCATCCCTTTAGAAACTCAGTTTCCTCTCTCTCACTCTCTCTTTCTCGGTCTCTCTCCCGCTATCTCATTCTTTTCTCGCGCTTCATCGCTCTGTTATTTCCAATGTGTTACAGGTGTAATATGTAGTAACAAAATATTAGTCGAAAGACTTTATCAGCCCCGAGGGGACGACGCGTACACGTTTTCGAGGTGAGTTGTGGTGTGTGGAGGCAATGAATGTACACACCCGCCATGTGGCGGACCCATAGTTGAACGGGAGCTTTCGCTCAGTGCCTGGCGAGACGGGCGACCTTGCGGGCGACCTTGCGGTGGCGGAAGACCTTCTTGTGGCGGAACACCTTGCGGTGGCGGTATCCTCCGGATGAGGGTGCTGGGGCCGGGGCAGCAGGGGCCTCGGGCTCATCTCCGTACGAGTTCTGCTGAGGGGCCGGTGGGGCCGGGGCAGGTGGTGGTGGGGGAGGAGGAGGAGGAGGAGCCGGGGCCTGGAAAGATGAAAATGAGCATTAGCATTATTTTTAAAGGGAGTGGGACAGATCACTGAATTTTGTCGCCTATTTAGACGATAAGCGGTCACGCCGCGGTTGGCGCAGGTCAAAATTTCATGTCGTGTATGCGCCTCCTCTTGACCAAATTCTATCGCCAGTTGTAGTTCAACCTTTAATAGAAGCTACTTCATCGTATTAGCGCATTTTAAAGGGCCATTGAAGGCAAGCTCGCGCTAGATTTTAGGGTTTTCTAGGATCGTTTGACTTCCTGGTGACTTTAAAACGCGCCATTTGCGTCCGAAATCGAATTTAGGTCTAGGAGAAGCTGCCCCGAACGATGAGCGCATTTTAAAGGACCTGTAAAGGTTATTCCGACCCCGAATCGAGCGTTTTTAGGTGCCAGGCGCGATACGGTTCTTGGAAACTAGCTGGAATGCGATTTTCGATGGAATTTGCAGCAATACTTCGGAGCTCAATCAAGCGCACTAATAGGCCAAGTCAGCACCTTGGTACGGTACCCTACGCCTGGCAAGCTAACAAACACCCTTTGAGGAGCTCACACTCGATTTTTTGGCTAGAACTTACCGGTGCGGGTGGCGAGTAGACGGGGGCCGGTGGTGGGGGGGGGGGGGGGGGGAGGAGGAGGAGCCGGGGCCTGGAACATACGATTTAGTAAGGTATCGTAGTCGGGATTTTTCCCTCTCTGTCTTTCTCTCTCTCTCTCTCTCTCTCTCTCTCTTTCGCTCTCTCTCTCTCTGTAACGCAAAATTCTTACCGGTGCGGGTGGCGAGTAGACCGGGGCCGGTGGTGGTGGTGGTGGGGGAGGGGAGGGGGAGGAGGAGCAGGCGCGGGAGGAGCAGCAGCTTGGTAGCTCTGGACCGGGGCCGGTGGTGGGGCCTCAAACTAAAGAATAAATTGAAGTTATTATACTGCTGTTTGAGGCCGGCGATCTAGGTACAAAATGCATGTAGTACGATCTCGGAATTTAGTGAATGTAGCCTTCAAATTTCTAAAGCTCACCTGGGGAGCAGGAGGAGAGTAGCTCTGCTGGGGAGGGGCCTGGGGAGCATAGCTCTGCTGAGGAGCCGGAGGAGCATAAGACTGCTGCTGAGGAGCCTGAGGAGCGTAGCTCTGCTGGGGTGGTGGTGGGGGAGGAGCCTGAAATTGAAGGAGCATGAGTAAAAGGTTACCTAAGCTATTTGAGCCACTTCAATTGCTGGAGTTTTGAATAGCCATATTTTAAAGGACCATAGAAGTCACTCCACCAACCTGAGGGGCATATTGAGGGGCCGGTGGGGAGTAGCTGGGTGGTGGTGGGGGTGGGGGAGGAGGAGGAGGGGGAGGAGCAGCCTGAGCATAACCTCCACCGCCGCCGCCGCCGCTGTAGCCGCCTCCGGCACCGCCGCCGTAGCTTCCGCCTCCGATGCCGCCAGCTGAAATGACGACCTTTTCAAGGATTTCATTCGTTTTAGAGCAAAAGGAAGGTTGAGCTCAGAATATTTTGGTTGATCGAAAGCTAATTGCCTCTACTTTAAAAATCTGCTAACTTACCTTGAGCGTATCCACCTCCGCCGCCACCGCCGCCGCCGCTGTAGCCGCCGCCGCCGCCGCTGTAGCCGCCACCTCCGCCTGAAGTGGCATCGTAAGGAGTTTTTTATTTTTTTGGGGTGATGGCAGCAGGAATATTGAGGTGTTTCTCTCCCCTTAGGGTATGTAACTTACCTTGAGCGTATCCACCTCCGCCGCCACCGCCGCCGCTGTAGCCGCCACCGCCGCCGCTGTAGCCGCCACCGCCGCCGCTGTAGCCTCCTACGGCACCGCCGGCTGAAAGAGATCATGAATTAAAAAGAACACGGTATGAAGAGAAAGAGAGAGAGAGAGAGAGAGAGAGAGAGAGAGAGAGAGTGAGAGAGAGCGAGTGAGGGAGAGTGAGAGCAAAGCGAGCTAGAGCGAGGGAAAGAGAGAACTACTTACCTCCTGCATATCCGCCTCCGCCGCCGCCGCCGCTGTAGCCGCCGCCGCCGCCCTGTTGGGCGTATTGGCTAAAAAGCAAATTAACCATTGTCAACGAAACGAATATTCGTCATTTTTAGGTTCCTACTGTAGCTGTACTTTAATCTTAGCCACGGAAAAAAATTAGATATTGCTAAAATTTGGAATTCCGGCCGATTTTATCATATTATTGTTAGAAATCCATATCAAAGGCTAAATTGTAAATGTTAAATTCAGAATTAAAATCCTTACCTATCAAACTTAAAATTCTATAAATTCTGACTGAAAGAATAGAAAACTCTTATTTTCAGTGAAAGGTATTCTCAAGGAGGTTTTAGGGTTTAGAAAAATATTTAAGTACTTTTAAAGGCTTACCAGTTGGCGGAGAGGAGTAGGGTTGCAAGGAGCCCGACTCGGTACATGATGCCTCAAGTGTCGATTCGAGCACCATCCCGGCTTTTATAGGCGGAGGAGGGCTTCAGCAGCTCTCAGCTCTGTGCATCCGTTCTAGTCTCCGCCCGCATCTCTCGGCTTCAAATTAGCCACTTTTTAGGCGTCTTTCGCAGAAGGTGAGGGACAAAGAAAAGTTGGCTAGTATGTTCTACACCTATCCGCGGCGCGTTTCAAGGCCGAGACTCGATTAGGCAGCTAGATATTGTCGTCTCTTTGGCGGGAGTCTTGTGGGGGAAATTCGACAGAGCGAGTGAGAGAGAGAGAGAGAGAGAGAGAGAGAGAGAGAGAAAGAGGGAGTGGGGGGGGGAGGAAGCTCCACTTGAATAGAGCCCATGTACGGATCGTGTGCGCTGAGTGTGCATCTTTTTAATGAGCAAAAATCGGAGAAATTCAAATTAAATTGATAGAGATGATCGCTGTTTTATCTTGTTATATTTGTGAACTTTTCCAGTCATAATATCACTCTTTTTGTCTATTTCGTTCGTCTCATCTTCATCTATTTATTTAACTAGTTTTTGCCTAGCTCTCTCTCTCACTCTCTCTCTCTCTCTCTCTCTCTCTCTCTCTCGCTCTCACCGTCTCTCTCCATCGTTCGCGCCGTCTCTGCTTTTAACTCTGTTTTCTCTCAGTTTCCCTCGTTCCCTGTCCGCAATCCTGAGTTCTGAATTTACAATTGTATTTTCTATTTTCTCGCTTTTCTCTACCAAAAATTCATGCTCCAGGTTAGGGCTAATTCAGTCTCTCCACGAGTGCCAATTTTAGACTCGCGCCTCCTTTCAAGAGCTTTTACAACCAAATTGCCGATTTCGGAGCTTTTGGGATCCAAGGACGCTCCAGAAGCCGTAAATTTGCCGCTTCTTTAGCTCTTGTATCCCTCAAAAACAACGTAAACCGTTTTTACAGCTCGAAAACTGGTCGTTCTCTGGCTCGCTCTCCCTGTCTCTGTCTCACTCCCTCTCTCACTCCCTCTCTCCCGCCGGCCTCTTGTAGCCGAGCGGACAACACTCACTTTGTCCGCTCCCACTCATGTAGATTTTACTCGCCGATACATGGATTTTTCCCCTCAAATTGCTCCCCCCACACAGCTGAGAGAATGAAAAATCGCATATCCCGTCGGCTTTTCGGTTTTTGCGTATACATGGGATGGGCGAAGGTCGTTTTTTAAACTGCAAACGAGTGGTGGACAAAGCGCTAAAAACTCGAGTAGAGTAGAAAATGTACCAAACTGACAGGAATCTAAAATATATATTTCGAATTATGTATTCTGTATTATTGAAGGAGGGCAAGAGAAAGCAAGAGATAGACAGGGATAGAGACAGCAGAGAGACAGGAAGGGCAGAGGAGGGGGGAGAGAGAGAGAGAGAGAGAGAGAGAGAGAGAGAGAGAGGAAGCGAGATTCAAGATTTTCGTGTTAATGGTAAATGAAGAACTTTTAGAATAGATTCTAGATTTTTATATTTTTATTTTTATTTTGATTTTTTAGGGCTTATAATCCCCCACAATTGTGCCTTGCGACCTGTAATCAAAAGTTTTATTTTAAACGCGCAGTTTCAAGGCTTTAGGCGTGTATTTTCTGTATGAATACTGTAAGCCTATATACAAATATTTATTTTCTTGCCACCGCCTATGCCAGCGTGGTTTTCGTAATTACAGACATTTTTGCATTTAACGAATCCTGCTTTTTGATATGCCTTTCCAACCAGATAAAGAGACAGAGTGCCAAGAATAGATAGACAAATAACAAGATCATATGGGCTTGGATGCCGATGTGAGGGGCGTAGAAGAAGAACAGGGACGAGCCCATTGCCTAAAAACGGGAAATTAGGACCGGAAACTAAACAAATAAAATGGCCGCATCATAACGGCTCTATTTCGTCATAAATTTAAATAATTTACTAAAAAATGGCCTCACCTGGTAAAATTTGAATACCGCCCACGCTTTGCTTGATGAGGCCGCAAATCGTTCGACCAGAAATGAGAAAATTTGAATGTTCCAACAGGTGCCACCAAACGAAAGGAGGGCACCGGAAGCCAGGATGAGCCAGGCGCTGAAAAAGGACAATTTAACGAAGAATCATCTTACATTCAAGGCTTGTCATACTTAATTATTTAATATTTAAATTTTAATTAATAATTAAAAACTACGAAAACAGCTTAATGTAAAAAGTCTATCGAAATTCTTCGCAATTTACCTAGGCTTTCAGTCAATCATCGCGTTGCTCTCCTTTCTCAGTCACTCTCTCTCTGCTCTCTCTCTCTCGCTCTCTCGCTCTTTTTCTCTCTATCGCTCTCTCGCTCTCTCTCTCCCGCTATCTCTCTCCCTCTCTCCCTTCTCGTTCTCCCCTCTCCGACACAACCACGTACTTACTTCGGACTCATTAAAAATCCATCGGCATCTGATCTCCTTTGGTTGACCTCTGTTGGCAAATTTGCATATAGGAGCCATGTAGGCAAAAAAAGTGGCAATGGAACCGATGAAAATTCCTTGCGTTCGTGATAACGACTTGCTCAATGGCGTCATGAAAAGGACACCGGCTAAAAAAATAGTTATAAGCTTCTTTCTCTTTTTCTCTCTCTCTCTTTCTCGCCTCTCTCTCTCTCTCTCTCTCGCGTAATTAACGGAGATAAGCCTTACCTACAAAAATACCCGCCCCGACGCTCAACACAGCATACGCTAACATCACCTCGTTATTCGAGCCGAGCTAAAAAATGTAAATTTAATGCGATTTGCAGAGAATTTGATACCTTAGAAGTGTTAGCAACACACGTAGAGAAGAGACCCGAATAATATGAAGACTGAAAACCCGTCCATGCAAATGGAAGGGCAAGGAGCAACATCTCGCGATCCAGGAATAATCGAAGAGTATCACCTAAAATATACTTTTGTTTATTACGCGCATATTTTGAATTACGAATTACGGTTCTATTTTTATTTATGACTTTTTTATTTTAATTTGGTATTAAACGATTTGAACCTACAAAAGATCTTCCCAAAGTTCTCCTCCTGCTTCTTCACGACGTCGCATGGCCGGAGAAATAAAAATGTAAGAATTCCGAGTCCGCCCATGGACGTGAGTACGATGTACAACATTTGGGCAGACTTTTTGGAGATGTGATTATCAGAGCCATGCCCTACACCTTCGATGGAGAAAGTGAAGTACAGGAAGACGCCGATAAGGATGACACTAAAAATAACGATAAAATTGAGTGTTTATTGGCGGATGCGTCAAAGAATCTCTGCTAGCTTGCCTTGTTTTAACGATAGCACGTCTTTTAACCGTAGCATTAGGAAGTCCAAGGAATTATTAGAGTTTGAAAAACCATTTTGGAAAGACAGAGAGAGAATAGTGAGAGAGAGAGAGAGAGAGAGAGAGAGAGAGAGAGAGAGTAAGAGAGAGAGAGAGGGAGGGAGAGAGAGAGGGAGGGAGAGAGAGAGCGAAAGAGAGAAAAGGGAGATAGAGCTAGCTATTTAAACTCTAATGGGGATTTTTGTGCCTGAAACGGTCCCTGCTGGCTCCCCATACATGCAAAAAAATCGCTTGAAGCAGCCGGCGATATTCAAAACACTTACTTTGCATCCAAGATTGCGAATAGCATTCCACTATTCCGTTTTGATGTTTTCGGGGTTGAATTTTGCGTTAAATAGACACCTTGCGCCGTCCAGAGCACTGTAATGGATTGAAATGATGGGAAACAACGTAAAACCGAGATTTTTATCTTTCTAAAACGTACAGGCGGCGCCAAATCCGACGCATCCACTCGATGCATAGTAGAAAATCTCGTTGAGATGCAGGAAACCTGCCTAAATCATTTATTTTTCAGTACGGAGTGAAACTACAAACCACAAAAATTGTATAGATTACTGCTGCTAAACTTAATGCCCACTTGGCGCCCAGGAAATCAACGCACGGAGCGGCAATAAAATTTCCCAACGTGTAGGTGCCGAAAATAATCGAAGAGCTAAAGTATACTCGTTATTAGAATGCCCGGAATATATTCCTTACCTGTAAAAACCGGCATTTTTATCTAAAGAAACGCCGTTGGTACTGTTTCGGACGCTTGAGATCACGGAGAGGACGATGTGGCCTGAAAAACATACCTTATTTGTTGATGAAAGATCCAAATTGTAAAGGGGTTAAGAAGAAAAGGCAAGTGCGCTTATGTAATTGGCCTTTAAGGTTTCCTAAAACCGTTTCCTTTTCCTTCCCTTCATGTCTTAAAAACACGATTTATCAGGACCAAAATTGGTAACGGAATTTTTCAAAAGGCTATTGAGCCGTTCATACTACAAATTCAATTCTAACCTACAATCAGAAATTCCCCTAAAAATCGTAAAATAAAAATTACAACCAGCGAAGCTACAAACTCCAAAATTCGATAAAAAACCGAGCCAGATCAAAAGTACTCACCATGGCACTGGTATGCGAACATTAGGCAGAAAAAGGCGAGGCCGAGGTGAATAACATTAAACGTCGCCCGGTCCATCATTTTTGGACGATACTCGATGAGACGTCTCCAATATTTCGTCGATAGTATTGGACCGTTAATAGAAATAGATAATAGACCGTTCCGGGTAGTTTCGGACAATTCCGAACCGATCGGAACAGTTCCGAATAGTTAACGCCTCGACCCGTTAATTCCGATCACCGAACGGCTAGAGCGATGAGTGAGTGTTCGAAGCGGCCTGGGAGAGCGCGAGAGGGGCCGTTTCTAAAAATAATTGTCTATTCAGCGTGAGGTTCGACCGCGGGTGCACATCACGGCAATCTGACCGCAATTTCCGCACCCCCGCACCTGACTGACTGACCGGGCGGCGGACAATCCCGGAGTTTTTGGAAAACACAAAAAGAGCACGAGGGTAAAACACGAATCATCAATTTGGAAAACGTCAGAAAAGTCATAATCGCTTACTGAAAACTAATCTTATATCAAATTAGATAGTTTTTACTCCATAATAAAATTTTTGATCATGAAGGATAATTAAATAAATTGTCAAAGGGGTTTTAAGCCGTAAAATTTTTGTATCTAATTCCAAATTAATTGCTTCGAATCGAATAAAGGCCGAATTCTGAAACTCTTAAATGTAAATTTTTTACCTTTTAGAACACGTAAAGCCTAAATTTTAAAAGTCTTGCTTTTTCTGATTAAAAAGTTACGAGGATCTTTAATTTACAAAATCTACAAAAGTAACAGCTGATTTATGAAGAGCAAAAATGTTGTAGGAACACAACCATATAAAAAATTTTAAACTTTAAAAAATGCAAAATTACGAAATTGCACTCTCCCAAACGCCTTACTGTTTCCAGAAACTAGAGCAAACAGTCTCAGCCACGGCAAAAACGAGTAAAATTCGTAATGTCAATAAACAGCACGGGATGACGGGATGATATCGTGGAAAAAGTGAGGACAGCGGGGAATACCCTGCACGAGGGTAAGAAAGATGGAAATAACAAGATATCAACTGACTCGAAAAGATTGCCCCGGGATCGTCGGGGTCAGAAAGGTAAGCTACCGTAATTTGGATCAACTTATCTCAAAAATTGGGAGTTTAGATCGCCTACGCGTCGCTCCCCTAGACGTGATTTGTTTCCCGCGTACCATGAATTTTCATTTTTCGCACTTACAGTAACCTTAATTGGATTTTATTTTTAAAATTAAAAATATTCTGCCTTTATATAAAATTTTTGAAAGATTGTCAAATAAAGACTATGGTGATATTACAGAAAATACCGTAGTCGTGGACTTCCTCCTCATCCTATGTCACCCAAATCTGAGGTCAGTCAGACTGGCTAAACCCTCAAAACCTCGGTTTTTCTAATCATCTCAATGGCGTCTCAAGGGGTATATTGGCATTAGACAAAATCCGGGATGATTTTGGGAGCACCATCTCGTCATGCGCATGATCACACTGCATCCAGTGCTCCAGGGAGGAGTTCCGGGGATTGCAAAGTTTCCGGTCATTTCTAAAAATAGCAAAATGCATGACCGAAGCGCTATAGCTACCGGAAACCTGAATCACAGAAAAGCTATTTTATAAGTGCAAAGATGACCAATTTTTGACAAGTTTGGCAATGCTGAACAGCTTCCTAAAGCCCGTTGAGGTCGCTACAGCTAAAACGCGGTTTCAGGGCGGTGAAAAGGTCAAACATAAAGCACAAAACCTGTAGATTTCAGTATATTGCTAGATTGCAGTAAGCTATTTATATTCCCGACCCTGTTTAGTGCGATAAAAAATGAAAACCTGGTTCCATCGAAGGATTACTTGGCAAAAGCGGGGTGGAACTCGTTATTTTTGAACCAAACGCTTGGTTTAATGGGTAACACATCCCAATTTATGACGGAAATAAGCGCTACGAAACAATTGGGAACCTGATTTGGAGCGGGTTTGAACAGGTTTTTACCGGAAATGGAAACGAACGAACAAACAAATATTCGATTGGAAGCTTGACGGGTTTAAAAGGGGCATGAAAAGCAAAATTTAGGAAGAATCCACCGAATCTGAAAAGCAAACTTAACTCAATTACATTAAAATCTTATACATTTTTATGATAAATTAAACGCCAATAGCTCAATTCATTAAATTGTTTGAATTTCAGATTGGATTCGAAGAATTTTAACTTTAAATTGGAAATATACCTGTTAATTGTAAGTGATTAAAACGTTAGAATTTGAGAGATATTTCGATTCTAAAAGGAGTGGAAATCATCAAATTTGGCATGCGGTCCTGTGGATTTGGCCTTCAACCCTTTTAAAAATTTTATGTCCTCTTAAGTTGCCTCAATAATGTAACCAGATCTGAAATGGAGTGCCAAACGTAGGTATCGTAACGATACCATACTCCCCTCAAGAAAACAGTATATAAGGTCTTGGGGTTTCTCGGAGCGCCTTCAGTCCCCCCCCAATTTATAAAGAAAAGGTGATCATGTTCGTTTCAATGCTGTTGCCACCGCCTTAAAAAAGCATGCTAAAAAGTGGTATGATTACCGTACCCAAGGCCATCCATGCGCCTTGATTCAATATGTCAACACCATTAAAGATATCCCAGATTATCTATGGTATCAATTTTTTTCCTGCTTCCCCCTACCTTCAGAAATCCGCAACCCTAAAGCCTGCAAAAATTTCATGGAAACGCCGCTAAAAAATAGCAGAGAATCATGAAAATCATAAAATACCCCCGCGCGGCGTATCACCTGATGCGATACAGTAGGAAAAAGATGAGGGGTCAGGGAATGGCTCATGCACAATCTCGATCACCTATCAATCATCGAATCCGCCCACCGGGGAAATGGGCTCGCGGAAAAAGCTGGCGGAAAAAGGAGTAGATCCATGGAAAATGTCGGTCGAGTTGTGCGATCGGTGGGGGAACCCCGGGTGGAATCAAGGATTTTGCGGTTGCCACACCCAACGAAATGATGATAAAGGGTCAAAATTGATGGTTTTATGGCAAAAAAACGTTTATCAAGGGTAGCTTAAAAATGAAACCCAATGTCTCACTTAAATTGTAAGCCCGGATTAGGAAATTTGCACAAGGCATTTGGCGGAAATGGGTCATAAACATAAGCTAAATGCTAAAAGCACGCAAGCTAAAAGCAAATATAAAACCCATTAAATGGTGATACCAGGGAAATTTATCGTTTTTGAATGGCGAAGAAGTGTTCTGTGCTCTAAACCGTAGCTTAAAAAGCTAGCGAAATTGGGAGTGGACGGTCTGAACGGCATTTTATCAAGCGGTTCGGTTTAAATTCACCGGTTTGCGTTAAATGCCACGTCTAAAAAAGCGATGATACTGGGTCAAGCTTCCTCGATGGTGCGGAAAAGCGGATTTTTACGTTCTAGGGAGAATTTAAGAAGGTATCGGACCGTTTGCTAGACAAAAATTTAGCGATGCGCGAACAACACCTGGTTTTAATCTTTCAACTTTTTTAATAACATCCGACTAATAATCATGATCAGGGCCAAAACTCATTGTTTTTCTGGCGAACCCTGGTTTTTGTGCTGAAGACGGTAGCTTTGGAAACATATCGCAATCGCGTATCTGCTAGGGCATGCTTTAGTGAATGATTTGGTCGTTCCGCGGCGAGTGTTTTCCGGGTCTGGGGATTTCCTCGTAAAGATCGTTATGGTTTCTGCAGGACTTCCAGAGCGCATTCGGTAAATGCCTCATTTGCTGAATTGCGTTTCCGTTAATTTGCTTCTTTCCAAGGAAGGAAATGTAAACTACCGGATTACAAACCACCTATTTTTTTGTGAAAAAAGCGCCGATGTCTATGAACATGCGCATATCCGATCGGTGGCCTACTTGGCGTGAAATTGACGGGTCTCGCTAGTCGAATGCGCGAGGAATCAAGGATTTTCGCGGCCTGCCATACCTTTTAAGGTGATGATGGACAAGGGTCAAATCCATCGTCAGATTGGCGAAAAGCTGTTTTTCATGCTTTTTTGGGTGCGCGGTGATGGTACACTAGACTGGGCTTTGTTACAATGCTCGCGTTTCTGCCCTGGTGGTCCGATATCAATTTGCCGAATTAGTTCTTACGGGAAATCCATCAAAAACGGTAGTGCCGATGGGCTGCCCGACAGGGAAACTGAAGCGCCGGGCTTGAGGTGTTGAGATCGGGGTAAGAGAGTTGTTTCCCGCAAGGTAATAGCCAAACTCGAAACTGCACGGGTAAGACACGATCAGATTTTTGGTAAAGTGCCAGTTCAAAGTATTAACTACTAATACTAACCACTAAACAACCTATGCAAAGACATCGAAACACGAAAAACCTAACTTAATCTTGAATTCGGGGCTAATCTAACGCTTTAAACGGGGCAGACCCCCACGTTATAATCTGGTATTGTAGCCCTTTACGCTAGAAAATGACTGGCCAGACAGGTGTTTCCACGATTCCATGGCCAGCCTTATTTGAATGGGCCAAATTATGTCCGGAGCACAGAAAAAACAAAAAAAACGTTAACGGTCCTGGTACTCTTAACGACATGAACAAAACAAGATTACACTCTGTTTAGGTTCAATGGAGCTAATTAGCGTTTATCGGTTCCGGGATGCAGATGAATGGCTACAGAATCGAAGAGAAGAATGCGAAAACAATAAGGACAATACCCTACTCCAGATTAATCAATGTCTGGGGTAGATAATAGGATAGAAATTGGTCTGAAGTTTACAAGCCATCCGGAGATGGAAATTCTTGAAGTAGCTTGTAAAGGACAGGGAATTTTTTGTAGTTTTCCTCTAGGCCAATTAAGCTGAAGCAACGCGATCAACACCCAGCACCAGTAAGGAAAATTGCATGAAAAATTGGGGATTTGCGCATTCGTCACGCCTTTCATGCGCCTCCGGTTCTCTGCCTTGTGTCTTGCAGGATCTTTCATTTCTACCTTACAAGCCCCTTTACAAAGACAAAAAAAAATCGAGGTGAGCGCCGTTGGCTGGAGAAATCCTACTATATATAAAAAAATAGTGTCTGTGTGTGTGTGTGTGTATATTTGCATGCACTTCCGTTAGGATGTTCCGCTCCTACAGCCTCGGGGAAGGGTTTTTTGGATAGGGAAGAAACGACAATAGGTTTAGAATGGTCCGGAATCGACTTCACACACATAAAAATTTTGAAAGATTGCGGTTTTCGCTATTAAAAATAGGTTTTTGTAAAACCCTGTTTGTTAGAGGAAATTAGCATACGCCGGAAGTAGGAAGAGCCTATATAAAGGGAAAGAGGAGCCGTTTTTCATTTTTTTTTCTTGCTAGAATTCAGGAAGAAACATGCAAATTAAGGACTTTCACAGATCCTGGACGGGGCCAGGGTTGAAAAGCCGCGAAGCGGTTTTTCAACCCTGGTATTAAGGTTAATAACAATCGCCGCATTTGGCAAATTCGCGATCTGTGAACGATCAAAATATGCCACCCAAGTTGTGCCAGAAAAGGAGAAGCCTGCATGATGGAAGAGCTGTCAAGTTCGCTAGCCTATAATAATAGCTAGCCTCGATTGAATGAATGATATTGAGAAGCAATTGACAGCTTCCCCTCCTTTTTTGGGACATGCTCTTTGTCTGGAATATCAGTAGTCAGACAGTCTTTTAGGTGGCGCCCCCTTTCCGCTTCCCCTCCTTGTAATGGCCCCCTCCTGTGCTTCTCCTTTGTTTGGCAATCAGCCACCGGCGTTCTGATTGTCATCTCATTCGAAAAACGTGTAGATCGCCAGGCCTAGAATTTCGCCCGGCGGCACCACCCCTTATCAGTGATGCCGATCAAAAATCAGCCGAAGAAAGGGTGGTTAAATTTGAATGGCCCTTGGTTCGGGCGGCTAGCTAATGGCTTTATAGCTTGCACTATTTGGTGGCACGTGGTTGCTTCCTGGTTTTTTACAGAGATCTGTGGACCTCGATTTTGACTTCGATGCGAAATTTTGGCTAACTGTAATGTGTTTCTACTCAACTTGGAGTTTCGATTCGGGACCAAGTGCATCTTGTGCAGAATTTTTCGCTAATTCCGAATATGTTTTCCAAATTTGCTACGGACTGTTATTTAAAAAAATCATTTTTGGTTACAATTAGGCCGAAAAATGCCAAAAATTCAGACGCTGGCCCACTATTCATTGTTTGGGGCTATGGTTCCCAGGGGCCCTGAAGTGCTCGCTTGCCAAGCGCAGGGCGGCGGTTCGAACCCCCGCCCTGCATCACTTCTTTTGCTTTTTGCATAAAAATCTCATTTTTTAGCGAACATGCTTGTTTTGAGCTGTAGGATGCTTGTCGGGCCAACGTCTAGTCAATTTTGACGTTGAAATAATGAAGAAAATCGAAAACTATAACGATACCTTCATTTTGGTGAAAACTAGGGTTAGAATTGCCGTATAACTTTCAGAATAACAGTCCGTAGCAAATTTGGAAAACATCTTCGGAATCAGCGAAAAATTCTGTACAAGATGCACTGGGTCCCGAATCGAAACTCCAAGTTGAGTAAAAACACTTTACAGTAAGAGAAGCTGTTGAAAAGGAGGAGCAAGACAGAATACAAGCTTCGCTGCGCATCGCGCGCAACCCTGCCCGATGCGGCTCGATTCCTAGTGAATCCTGCGTTGTTTCCACGTATAAATGGATTACTAATAGCCGATTCAAAGTAGATATAATTTTGATGGTTACTTATTATCTCAGGAAAGTCATCTTTCGAAAATGAATTTTCCCAAAATTCCCTTTTTCGAAAATCTAACTTCGAAAAATGTGCGTCCGTCTGTCAGTCGAAATGATGGAAGATGATGAAATAGCAGCGCAATTTTTTCGAAATTCTGCTTTTCGAAAAAGCTGTTTTTGGGAATATGGTTCGCGAAAAGTAATCGCGAGCCCCCAATCTCTCTCTCTCTCTCTCCTCCCCCCTCCCTCTCTCTCTCTCTCTCTCTCTCTCCTCTCTCTCTCTCTCTCTCTCTCTTCCTCTCTCTCTCTCTCTCTCCTCTCTCTCTCTCCTCTCTCTCTCTCTCTCTCTCTCTCTCTCTCTCTCTCTTGCTCTCTCTTCTCTCTCCACTCTCTCTGGCCGACAAGATTTTGCAAAAACTCTAATTCTGTAGGTTGTATTCTTGAGTTTAAAAAGCAAAATTTATGCAGCAATAGAACAAAAGCATACAAAAATTAGATGCGGGATCAGCACAAAAAGCTCATCAGCAAATACAAGTATATTATATACATTGGATTATGCGTTGCAAGAGTTCAGGGAAACCCGAGTATAATAGAGATCAAAGGAGAGGATTATGATGCACAATGCACCAAGGCTGCAATGAGGAAAATTGCGCAGCAGACGATGAAAATTAGGACTGGTGCCACAACTGCAACTCGACAGGGTTTCGTTTCTAAAAATGTGTTATCATTGAGAGCACAACGTTGCCTGATTGATGGTTTCATAGTGTAACAGCTTGGACTCACTTTTCTCTATCGCCACCGGTAGTTCTGGCATCTGGGCTTCTGGAACATAGACGACGACGTGGTTTTGGAATTGGACATGGTGCGAGCAGGTGGAGCAGATTGTTGCCTGAAACAAACATATTTTAACCTGCCCAGCACGTCATTCCGCGCAGAATCTCGGCTAGCTTGCCCCGACCCTTGTCTAGGCCTGACCCATAAAGGAAGGTAGTATATCGCATGATGACAAAAATGTAATTTTGTGTCGCACAAGGCTACGCAAGTGCATTGTAAGTGGACCGCAACGCGATCCGCGACGCGATTAAAGGGCGTCTGGCAGCAAGGCCCTTTTTCCACGACTCGCGGAAGCGTCGCGGTCGGGTCGTCGCGGCAGGGAGAGAAAGAGCGCCCCCAGAGGAGAGACGCAGACAGAACTCTGCGTCTCTGCCCGGTCCCCAAAATGCCGTAATCGGTGTGCTGCCAGAGCCGCTTTAAGCCCTAGACACACAGATTATTCGCAGGAAAACGTACAGAGGACAAGCCGCAACGTCACCGCAACGCAGCTAGGATCTACACAAAATCACAGCGAAAATTACTCCCTGATTTTTCTGACTCGGCGTTTTGGTCCGTTTTTCGTGAACGCAACCCCATACGCGACGCAGTTGGTTTTGGTTCCTCTCTATACGCAAAGCCGTGTCCGTTCACTAAGCATTCAAAGGGACCAAGGAACTACAGAGATTTCTACTTTTCTGCCATCATTACTTTATAAAAAGACATTTTTAATATTATTTTTCTAGATCTGTTTCGATGTACTAACCTGATTATCATACTGCACCGGCTCGAC